CTGTGTGTGTGTATGTGCCAGTATGTGTTTGCTGTGTGTGTATGTGTCAGTATGTGTTTGCTGTGTGTATGTGCCAGTATGTGTTTGCTGTGTGTGTACGTGCCAGTATGTGTTTGCTGTGTGTGTATGTGCCAGTATGTGTTTGCTGTGTGTATGTGCCAGTATGTGTTTGCTGATGGTGTGTACGTGCCAGTATGTGTTTGCTGTGTGTGTGTATGTGCCAGTATATGTTTGCTGTGTGTGTACGTGCCAGTATGTGTTTGCTGTGTGTGTGTATGTGCCAGCATGTGTTTGCTGTATGTGTGTGTATGTGCCAGTATGTGTTTGCTGTGTGTGTGTGTATGTGCCAGTATGTGTTTGCTGTGTGTGTGTATGTGCCAGTATGTGTTTGCTGTGTGTGTGTCAGCTAAGCCCTTGCAGCAGGAGTGTCACGGTTAGCGCACTGCGCTACAAGCCCGGCAACCCCAGTTCGATTCCCACTCACGGCCAACGCCAGTTACGATGATGTTAACCGGTCCGGGGCATCCTCCGCTTGGCCAACTCGGCTTCAAATGAGTACCTGGCGCGGTGTGCAGTAAACATCACCACTGGGGAGACAAAGGCGGTCGGGCGTAGTGTTGGCCACCCACCCCCTTGTGTGCCGTGCCGGCTGTTATAGGTGCTCGCTAACAGAACTTGCACCTACAGTCTACACGGGGGAGCTTTGTCTTTCCTGACCCTCTGCAGACCCTGCATACGAGATGCTCCATCTCAACGGGATTTTCCAGGTGAAATATTTTAATACATTTAGCTGCTTGGTGTGGGAATCGTAGCTTTTGGCAATTTCAATTACCCAGGATAAGTGAGCTTTTTCTAAACCGGGATAACCAAACGGAAATGGCGAATGAGGGTTAACATACAGGGGGTGTCGAGTCGGAGGATACGTGGTGGGTCAGCAGGACACGTACGGGACGTGATTGTCTTCCTACGCGGCTTGGTAAAGTTGAAGCTATCAACACGAACGTGAAGGGAAGGTTTTGGCTAAACGGCGGAGTGACGTCTGTGTTCACCCACGGCCCGGAGAGACGGACTTGCAACAAGGGGCAGAGCGACGCGGCCCAGCGGTGGTCGCGCGCTCACCGCTCACTGCGGAGCCTCGTGGGTCAGAGCCAGCGGCCGCCCCCGGTCGTTACTGCGGCGGTGCGATGGCCGTAGCGGCGATACCCCGCGCCGTCTGCAGTGGACGTTAACGATCCGCTGGCGTGATTCGCAAGGGTAGGCCATTGCGTGCCGGCATCAAGGCCAAAATTTTGCCAAATTTCAATATCAAACCGCAAATTACTCAGTTGGGATAATGCAAATGAAAACGGGGGGTAGGGGGGGGCCCTCACTGGCAGCCTGATGCCCCGGGGTCACTTTCGCCAATGAGACCCATCGTGTTCTCACCCTGGTTAAACAAAACTGAATAAACTAAACTGCTGGAAATGTCATGACAAATATACGGGAAGCAATGTGGAAAGAATGGAAGCGCGTTTCTCTTCCATCCTTCCGGGTGCCTACAAAGCATGGCACGGGGAAGCTTCTCACGTTGGTAGGGAGCCACATGAAGGCTGGAGAAGGATGAATTGGGGGAGACACTGAGGGTGGCTGAGCAAAGCAGAACTCTGAAGACAAGAGTGCAGGAGACTGCCAGGGCCGATGTTGCAGGCCGAGCGTTGACTCTGCGGCAGTTCTTGGGGAGGGGAGTCGGGTGGAAGACAGCGGTGGTGAGCTGTGGGTTTTGAGTGACAGCGTCGAGATATAATCTGCAGTTTAATTTTTCCCACAGGGCGATACTGTCACAGTCACTCGCAGGTATGCACGCTGCGGGGATGGTTATCTGTACATTGACAGGCCTGCCGTGGTAATCTGGGGCATCAAACAAAAGGCGGACAATTGCTTTGAGAACTGATATTTACAAACTTATCGCTATTGCAAGTTGTGTTATGATGTTAATTTAATTCGGGCCATTCTCAACTCAAGGCGTTAAAGGAGTCATGGGGTCGTGTCTCTAGGCTTGATGAGATGCGGCGATACTGCAATATCGATCGCGATGCCCGTTGCTCAATCTATTTTGTAGCGTACTTCGTCTCCTGGCGAAAATATTTATGGAGTATGAAATAACACGGTTCTAAAAGTGAACAGCACTTACACATTACAATTCGTGCTTTTGCGGAAAAACAAACCGGAGTCATTGACGGCACTGTGGTCTACATGGCGTCATCATTTTAGTAGCTCGATCAATTATTTATTTAGCGTGTAGCTGATACCCCCACGTGCGCCCCAAAGCATCGCAGATTGTCATGTTGGAACGAGCGGAAGAGCGAGGGCAGTGAAGGAGCTCTTAAGTGGGTATTTCTACTGGAGGTACTGGAAGTACAGCAAGGTATAAAACCAATTAATGCAGTAATCAGGCTAAATACCATTACAAAAGTTACGGGAAACTTGATATTGTGACAATTATCGTATCGTGAACGTTCACGCCGTATCGTGAAACACGATACGGCGGGAAGCCAATCGGAAGTCATTCTATGCACTCGCTGCATTGCTGGTCGCTTATCACGCCGCACTCTGTGTTGTGTAGAAGTGTCGGGTAGAGAGGGGAGATGTTGATCACCGGGATGTCACCAATTCGTCATCAATATTCACGACGTTGCCGAGCACGGCACATCGCGTCCATCTCGTAGTGTTCCTTGCGCTCTGTGAGCGGTGGGCGGTGAGCGGTGAGCGGTGTGGGGTGAGCGGTGAGCCGTGGCGGGTGAACGGTCAGCGAGGGGACAAACGACGGTGCGCGCCGCCCAGCTGGGCCCTCCCCGCGAGCGGTCGTTTTTCGTGAGCGTTCGTTTTTCACAACTCCTCGCGAATAGCTTCTTGGCGGCGCCCGAACCTCTGAAGGCGTTTTGTGCGCCGGGTGTCCACGAGCCAAACCGCGTGGCCCTCCTCCCGCGCTCGCACGCACGCACGGACGCGCAAACACCCTCGCCAAAAAAAAGCGGACGCCTCTACAGTTTGATCGAGTATTTCGCTGCCAGGTGACAAAAAACACTTTCCGCCTCGGATCAATTTCTGACCAAACCATCTTCCCGCACGGCCCGAGGCATCTCATGCCCCGCGCGGAAGACATCGGGCACGACGGTCACGTATCTCTCGCGCCCGACGAAATATTTAGCGGGGCGACGACAACGACGACGAGGAGGAGGAGGAGGAGGAGGAGGCGCGGGTGCCTCGGTGACACCGGGCGCTGCGGTATTTTCCCGCTGACACCGCCGGCGAGATTTGGTGAATGGGGCGCTGTGTGGAGGCTCCAGAGAAAAGTAGAATTCGGCGTAAATCTGGGGCACGGTGTCCGCCGCGCGCGACATGAATGGCTGCTGTGGTCGGCAAATCCGCGCGGTGGGGAGGGGGCAGGGGGGGAAGAAACTTCATCAGCCACCAGAGTTTGGCCACGTGCTTGATTTACCAAATAGGTGTGATGTGCGTCGGCGTGTAGCACCTCTTGTTGCTCCTATTTAGCGAGATGGTGCGGGAATGAAATTGGTTGCTACATTTCTCTCGACCAGGACATTCACAGCACCGCTTTAAAGCTGCTCTACGCTGAATTAATCTCTGCGCAAGAGACAACACAACATCTTCATTCGCGTCGTAGTGGAGGACAGTACGCTCCCTTCACGTATCTGTCCCTCGATGTACAAAGAAAAAACGTTTTTTTTCACACACCTTCTGGGGAGTACATTATTTCAGCAGCATAGTTTCAACGCAAGCAAACTCTACACCGGCTTCCACACTTGGTGTCTCATCAGCAGGGCCGGCAGAGGGTGCGTAGCGCAGGGAGATCGGTGGTCGTGATTGAGAAGCTGGTCGTGTCCCCGCGAGACGCGTGCCAAACACCGTGACGGAGACGATACGGAGTGGCAACTCGAGCGGCCTCGGCGAATCGCCGCGCATGTGCGCTCAGCCGTGACCCCCGTAGGCCGTGGCCCCGAATCAACACAAACGCCAAATTCGTCCTATTATCCACGCATCCTTAAGTTCCCATGGGTATTAAATGAGTCCGGTTATCCGGGGGATTTTGCAGATGACAGGTGCTACGTGGCAAATGCACTCTGGTGTCTGTGTTCATCCACAGGTAAGAGGAACGGCGGAAAGTGGTCTCTTGGAGGCACATAAGAGTGGCAAATGCATCTCAGTATACGCATTCAGTCGCGGCTCTTGAGTGTCTCTGCTGACCCTGACTCTGACCGTGACCCCTGACCCTGACTCTGAACGTGACCCCTGACCCCTGACTCTGAACATGACTCCTGACCCCTGACTCTGAACATGACTCCTGACCCTGACTCTGAACATGACTCCTGACCCCTGACCCCTGACTCTGAACATGACTCCTGACCCCTGACCCTGACTCTGAACGAGACTCCTGACCCTGACTCTGAACATGACTCCTGACCCTGACTCTGAACATGACTCCTGACCCCTGACCTCTGACTCTGAACATGACTCCTGACCCTGACTCTGAACATGACTCCTGACCCCTGACCCCTGACTCTGAACATGACTCCTGACCCTGACTCTGAACTTGACTCCTGACCCCCTGACTCTGACCGTGACTCCTGACCCCTGACTCTGAACTTGACTCCTGACCCCTGACTCTGACCGTGACTCCTGACCCCTGACTCTGAACATGACTCCTGACCCTGACTCTGACCGTGACTCCTGACCCCTGACTCTGAACATGACTCCTGACCATGACTCTGAACATGACTCCTGACCCTGACTCCTCCTGACCCTGAATGTAATTCTGACCACGACTTTTCCTGCCAGCTGCAAGCTCTGTGCTCGTCGTCTGTGATCATTTTTCAGAGCCGATGGAAATGGGTCAGGATGAATGGCAATTGACGCGAAATGAAAACCCGGGTCTGTTTGCCACAGATTCTATTATGACTGCGCCTCACCCTCCGCTCACCCTCCGCTCACCCTCCGCTCACCATGGCATGAAGCGGCCGATGCGAGTTCGAGGGCTCCGGCCAAGGAGAAGGCCCACGGCAGGGTCAGTGCACGCGTCCCACGCCCGTCCCACAAACAGGATGAGCGACACGTGGTGAGCATGCATCTGTGACACACAGACAGACACACAGACACACACAGCGCGCGGGGTGAGCCTGCATGCACGAGTGTATTTAAAGAGTGCATTATTTCGCGCATCTCAGGGGCTTGCATGGATTATGCAGGCCCGTCAATCCCACGACCTCACAACGGAAAAGAGTCGTGACGGAATCTGAAGGTGATTTCTGTATTCGATAAATACAGTGCACGTGCAGCGATTAAATTTAATACGAGGATGCGAACCCAGACTCTGCTCTCTCGTCATGTGCCACAGCGAGCGCATAGAGAAGGCAAAACTGCCAGGGTGGCGAGATGTTAACTCCCTCGCCTGGTATGCAGGAGGTCGTGGGTCCGATCCCGACCCTGATGCCTGATGTATATTTGGAGTTTGCGTTTCTCTTTCCCCGTGGTCGCGTGTTTTTTTTCTCCGGCTCCTCCGGTTCTTCCCTCCACATTTAGAATAAACGTCACGCGTTTAGAGCATTTGGCTGTCCTAAATGTGCACGTGACAAGCCACTTCGTTGAGCCACCATTTGTGTATAACCAGGTCGCTTCTGAGAAAGCTATATATAGCTCAGTGGGGCCTTACCTGGTAAAATTAAAATAAATAGTTTGAGTAATAGTAAAAAATTGGACCCTGGCTGCACAGCCACGAGTTCCCCCGGGTTGCGTGCCAATTTCCCACTGGTGGTGGTGCGGTAATGGATCTCAAAAATCGGTCACGAAATGAAATGCCAAGAATCCCCCTTGGGGCTGAGCTGACTCCACACTGTGAGAACAAAGCCCCCTCGAAATTAATCTCGCGTAATTGACACGCGGCACAACCGGATTTTCACCGCAAATTATTACACATTGTGCGCATGCTGATCTTCCTTCGCGCGGCACGCAGCCAACCGTGCCCATCTACGGCCCCGTTTATAAATCACAACAATCGGTCGCGAGAGCCCGCGTGTAAAATGAACACGAAACATCTTCGCTATTTTTCCCCTTTTTTTTTGGGTTCCCCCTTCCCCCCCGGGGTGAATCTACTGGCTGATGATGAAGGGGCCCGACCGGTTCCCGTGCGACTGCGACACCGGGGCTCTCTCTCTCTCTCTCTGCGTGACGGCTTTGGCTTTGGGGAAATGTCAGGACGGGGACTCTGCGTGCGTGCGAGCGCACGCAGAGAGGGAGGTAAAAATAAGGTGGCGGATTAAGAGGCGGCGGGGCCACGGGCAGGCCAGGGAGTCGTTACCTTGACAACGTCGAGCAGGAAGATGGTGAGGTAGAAGCCGACGACATTCTCGGTGATCTGGTAGGGGGCGCCCCCCACGGCGAAGCACAGCTTCGTGCACCGCGATAGCCGCTGAACCTGCACCGGCACAGCCCCCCCCCCCCACCACCACCCCACTGGTTTCACATCACCGCCATCGTCACACCGTACACCTCACACTCGCACCCCACGTACCATACATTACACACACTGCATGGCTCACCATATACCACACCCACATGATACACCGTTCATAACCACACATAATATATACACCACATGCTCATTGCAGAACACGTGCTATACACCCCACACAATATGCATATCATGTACCGCACATTGTACACCATGCATACACGTTGCACACCACACAATGTGCACATCACATTCCACGTATTATACACATCACATACAGTGCCACACATTACACACTAAACACGTTACACACCACACTCTACAGTACACATCATACACACTACATTGGCACACCACAATGCACCAGCACCTCATGCGTGGCGCATGACAACACCACACCACATGCTGCACGTACAGGACTCAGCTCTCTATCATTCAGCACCACACACACTGCACAAGACATACTCGACTGCGTCGTGCTGTGCAAGGCGATGACACATCGTTCGTCTAAATTGACTCTTAACTCTCCCGAGAACAAGAATTGAGGTTACAAAGCGTTTGCCGTTGCAGCACCAAAGTTTTGGAATAACACTGCTTTCTCCTTTGGGCATCACGGCGAGATGTTAACGACCTCGCCTGGTATACAGGAGCTCGTGGGTTCGATCCCGACCCTGACACCTGCTGTATATTTGGGGTTTGCATTTAGAATCAACGTGCGTTTAGAGTGTTTGGCTGCTAGAAATGTCCACGTGATGAGCCACTTCGTTGAGCTGTCATTTGTGATAGCCAGGTCGCTTCTGAAAAAGAGATCATAGCTCAGTTGGGCCTTACCTGGTAAAAATAAAACACAAATATTAAAACACAAATGTTTAACTTGCATCGTAAAGTAATTGTATTTTTTTACTTGCTATACAGCAAGATAATACGACAAATCGCTGACCTTAAACAACCAGTCGTTCATGAAAGTTGAAGGCGGTATAGTACTATAGTAATAGAGCAAGTGCAGAATCACTGAACCGGAATTTATAGCTTGAAAGCATTTATGCGCGGGGCCTCTAGAAAGTGCCGGGCCCGTAGCTGCTACTACATATGTAGTAGCTGCTATATATGTAGTAGCTGCTACATATGTAGTAGCTGCTACATATGTAGCTACTTTTGCTCCTACGATAATCCGGCACTGCATTTGACCTTGACAAATCTGCAAAGATGGATATACGAGGGCAATTTGTACTTCCATGCTATATATTTTTTCGATTTACTTGCTTAACTTTTCTCTGTCTTACTCTTCCTTCCTTCCTTTGTTGTACTATTTGTTGATGCAACCCGCTGACCCGTCCCTTCCGGACGTCTGTGAAAAAGGGCTTCGAAGCTCATCAGATTACTCCGGGATACACAAAAACAAAAGATGTGGATCCCGATGCAGCTGGAGTGCCGTACCATACAAAGGTGGTCTGTGTTGCAAAGCGAATTGACCATTGCAGGTCATCGCGACAAATACAAACCTCACCTTGCTAGGCCTCGGTAAAAAACAAGGCGATTTAAAACAAAAATAACGACTGGGAATTCTGTTGGAGGAGACCAAACACCCGAGGTTTTAGTGAAAGTGGACAAATTGCGCGGTATTTTATACACGATATAGATTTCTGTTGAACAAGAGCCCCCATATCCAAACAGGGTCTGGGCAGTTCACCGGCATTGGTTCAAGCGAGCGCCCGGCCTTGCCGACGAGACGCCGGAGTCATACACCGGTCACAGAGACGGCTTGTGTCGAAACAATGTCGCTGAAATGATCGCACTCCCAGAAGGCCATGTGGCTGACGGGATGCGTTTACGTGGACGTAAATGTCTGCGAAGGAGGCGAACTGTCTGGTTATTTTGCTGCTGTGGCTTGCTCCTCCGTACGTTGCCTGCCGCTGTACCAAGGAGGAGGCAAAGTGTGGCGGAGGCAGGTGTCACCCCGCCACTTGAATTCGATTCCCGCTCACAGCCAACGCCGGTGACGGTTATGTGAACCGGTCATGGGGCCTCCCCTAGGTCGACTCGGCCTCAAATTAGTACCTGGTGCGGTGTAGTAAACATCGTAAATGGGGAGACAAAGGCGGTCGGGCGTTGTGTCGGCCACCCACTCCCTCGTGTGCCGCAGTGCCGGCCTTTATAGGTGCTCGCTAACAGCACTTGCCCCAACAGTGTGTTAAGGCTACACGGCGGATCTTTGTCTTTGTCACTAACACCAAGAGTGAAAGTGGCTTCTCCAGTTCTTTGTGAGCACCGCAGCCTCGCACGCATCCCAGGGCATTGCCTCCGATCGCTATTATCTGTGGTCACAGTTGACCCCCGAAAAAAACGATTACTGTATATTTATTCTGGGTTTGTCACGGACACGAGGAGCGACACAGAAGTGGTGGCAACATCGTCTCTGCTACTGTGGACCTCACTGTGGAGCACACTGTGAGAAGTCCAGAGGCCATCATCTCCAGGGCACGGTGCCGTCATGCCACCCTTGGCCTAAGAGAGGCGTTGTGGGAGCCAGGGGTTGCCCCCCACACACACGAAGTGTTCGCAGGCCTCCCCCTCGCTGGCTCCGTGTGAGTGGGTCACTGGGGGAGCCTTTTATCGTCCTGGAGCCCACTTCTTTATTTATTTATCCGCTTTGCGGATTTCCGCAAGAATTTGCATTCCTCTTCAGAGCCCATTCCTGAGATGGCCGTGGCAGCAACGCTCATCACGGAGCACGGAACGCAGCAAAGGCAAAGATCCCCCGTGTAGCCTTAACGTAGTGTTGGGGCAAGTGCTCTTAGCGAGTAGCACCTATTAAGGCTGGCATGGCACACCTGTAAGGGGGTGGGTGGGCAGCACCATGCCCTAACCCTTTGTCTCCTCAGTAATGATGTTTACACCCTGCACCAGGCACTCATTCAAGGCTGAGTCGACCGAAGGGGATGACCTAGTACCGGTTCAGATCTTCGCCAATATGATTTGTTTTGAGCTAGGTCGCCGGGTTCCTCGCGCAGTGTGCTAACCGCTGTGCCACAGTTCGCCGCAGCAGCAGCAGCAGCGGCTCACAGCAGGAACCTGGCTGAGCGCCAGAGCGCGGAACCCAACCGCACAGCCAGCGTCTCCAACCAGCACGTGGCCCAGCATGGGGCCCAACGCAACGCCACTGGATGCTCTTAACACGTCGTGGAAATTCCACATTCCCATGGTGAAGGAGAGCGTCTCCGCAGGACAACCACTGTTGACTTCACACAAAAGCGGCACTCGCTTTATCGACTCGGGAATGATGATGGGCCAAGTGAACCCTGACCGAGAATTGACCTTGTAACCTTCCGATAGTGAGTCAAGTGCTGTTCCACTGTGATACCTGGGCAGGACATTCAACCAGAAATCTACATTAGCGATCACCGTCACGCTGCTGGACATCTGTGAAAAAGAGCTTTATAGCTCATCGGATTCCTCCAGTATAAATAAGCATTCTGATTCACGGTCCATGCTCGAGTGAAGCCGAGGCTCATCCTGGCCACTGCTGCATCCCTTTCACTCATTCTCCACTTTCAGATCTGTGTTTTGCAATTACAGGGTTTTACACATTTGTTTCAGTTCTAGTTCAAGTGAAAATGTTTCACTTAAGTCTGTTTATAGTTCAACGTGTTTTGTTTAGAACGTTTAAAATACCACAGCCATTATTGCATGCAACATTACCGACTGCCTTAACGTGGGACTTGAAGAAAGTGCTGAACTCGGAATCTGAACACTCTCAAGCGAGGCTCTGTGAGCCACCACCCGCCGCCACCCCAAGCGGAGTAGGAGATCATTACCGCGCGCGTTGTTGCCGCTTCAATGCCAGCGGCGGCCATGGCATGCGGGGCGCACCTGTGCGGCGCACCTATGCAGCGATCACAATGGGGCACCCGAAGCCACCGCAGCCTCATCGCGCGCCCACGCCCCGATTCACGCTCCCTTTCGGCCGACGAGGAAATCGCCACGGTGACGAGCGTGGAAACTCCCCAGTGCGGGGGGGGGGGGGGCAGGGGCGGGGGCAGCGACCCGAGCCGCGTGCTCTCCGGGCCCCTCGGCGGCGACCCAGCGGCTCGCGCGGCACATACGTTGAGCGTCTTCCGCGCCGCACGTAGCCAGCCGTGCCAATCGGTGGTGCGGTGAACTCGGGTGGTGGGCGGACGTCTCCTGCGGCGCCACGCGGGCCGCGTTGCGAGCGAGTTCCACGGGACAGTCGAGATCAGTATCAGAAAATTTACTTATGCTGGAGGGAATCCGATGAGCTATAAAGCTCTTTTTTTACAGATGTCCAGTAGGGTCGGGTACACAATCGGAGTGCAAAGTATAGGAAAGGTAAACAAATCTTTTAAAAAATGTACAAATTAAAGTAAATTATGTTTATGTTACCAGGTAAAGCCCACTGAAGGATAACTTATTTTTCAGAAGCTACCTGACCACAAATGATTGCTCAACAACGTGGCTTATCAATTCAAGTTCCACAAACAAACATTTGCTTTGCTTTTGGGGAAAAAAGTACACTACGCATGTATTTTGACTGATACGGCCAGGTTTCGGTTTGAATTATTTTAGCTCGCGTGTACAAAACCTCACGTAGGAAGTTCACGCCAACTTGTGGGTTGTTTGTTTTAGCTGAAAAAAGATCTTGTTGCCTTTCTACCTCTATGGCAATAGAGCAATTTTCACAGAAACGTGACTTCATAATCGGCCTAAAGCAACGTTGGACCCAGTCCTCCACCCCGCCTTGTGCTTGATTCGTTGCGATCCCTGGAGGCGCAGCGCGGCTCCATTGCGCCCGTTGTGTGCAAGGCTAACACGCACTCTGGGAGGGAACCGGGGAACCGGGAGGAAACCCATGAAGACCAGGGGGCGAGAATAGAAAATCCCAAACACAGAGGCACCCAAGTCGGGAACCGAGCCCACGCGCTTCTCGGTGAGATCGCTCGCCTCAC